GCTAGCCAGGCTTTAATCTCAGCACTCGGGAGGCAGACACAGTCTGTGAGACTGAGGCCAGCCTGGTCTACATAGTAAGTTCCAGGCTAGCTGGGGCTACAGAGAGACCCTGTCTCAAAACATAAAAAACAAAAACAACCCCCCCCCAAACCAACAAACCAACCAATGAACGAACCAACCAACAAACCCAAAAAACTAACCCAAAGCTAAATATGGGAGCTGAGAATGTAGCTTAGTGGTAGAGAGCTTGTCTAGCATGTAGAGGACTCTGGATTCCATCCCCAGCAAGGGAAGCTAGGAAGGAATAAGAAAATATGGCTATGGCCACTAAACCAGTTAGTACACTAAAACTCAGATACTAGGGCATGGAATGAACGAGGATCAAAAAGGTATCTTTACCCCTCTGCCATGCTGGGACCCCGAAGAGAGGAAGGTTGGACGTACCCTTCACCGAGGCCAAAGCTGTTGGGAGAGCCATTATAACTTGGGGATGGAGCACTGTTCACTTGGTAGGCCACATCAGGCCATGGAGAGCACTGTGAGGAGAGATACAACACAGGGCAGTGTGATTTGACGGTGGCAGTCCTCAGGATAAGCTGAAGGCTGCTGAGGAGATGGCCCAGGCTCCTCAGGCCCTTCTAAGCAAACAGGTATCAGCATTGATGGCTGAGACCCAAAATAGAGCCCTCATTAACTGAGTGCTCACAATGAGCCACAGCCATGAGGACACTAGAGTCACCCAACAAAGCAAAACAGAGACCCAACATTCAGGCTCAGAACAGGCAAACCATAAAATGCATCCCTTTGAGCTTCCTGGTAGTCAAACCAAAGAGGGAAAGATGCATTAGTCACATGATTCCTGAGCCCACAAACTAAGAAAAGCATAATAATACCTGTTGCTCACTAAATATGTAAGTATGCATTATAGAGCATAGACAACTTCCCAAGAAAAAATAAACAGTACAATTAATTACTAAAACAGGATTGTAGCAGATGTATAATCTTCTAAGAGCATCTCTCACCAGTCAACCTCTGCACATTTATTCCATTTTCGCACCACCTGGGCTACAAGACACAGAAACATATGTGATATGAGTCCTCCCCTCTCAGATGTTCTGCTATACAAGCCAAAAATTAAGAAATCATCAGGAGTGTTGGAGGGAGAGCACAGAGCTGCAGGTTTGGTGACCAGGAGAACACCAAGCTTGCATTTCTTGCCTTTCTCCCTTCTGAGGCAGTGACTTTGCTTGGAGAGGGCCAGTCTAAAGCATTCCTAAAGATTGACTATCACCCACAAAAAGGCAGGGTTGGTAAATATTTAACCATTGTGAGCGTAGGCTGGAATTTGTTGATGCTAAATCTTACAGCCAAGGAAGGAAAAACTGATGAGCTGATAGAAGGGACAAGCTCACACCTCCCAAGGTCATGACTGGATTCCTACGCCAACTCTGCAGCACTTTGATGCAGACCTGCACAGCGAAGCACCCTCTCCTCTGTTGGTGAAGCCAGGAGGGGAACAGAGTTGAGGCTCAGCCAGGAAGAAAACACGTCACTAAATGGGGGACACTCCCAGAAGCATCGCCAGTCCAGGCATGGGGAAAAAACTTGACTGAGCTGTAATGCATGAAAGGCAGTCCTTGTGTCCTGCTGCTTCTCCACTGGCAGAGGACGGGGATGGGGTGTCTTCCTGCTTACTGTCACCCTCATAAAAAATAAAGTGGCTGGGTGGTACCCATCTTTAATCAGAGCACTTAGGAGGCAAAGGCAGGTGCCCAGCCTCTTGAAAGAAAAGGAAGGGAGGGAGGGGGAAAAAGAGAGGCAAAGGCAGGTGCCCAGCCTCTTGAAAGAAAAGGAAGGGAGGGAGGGAGGGGGAAAAAGGAAGAAGAAGAAGAAAAAAAGAAGTGTCAGCACTCTGGTATACACTACAAACCTCATTAGCATTTACCCTGGCCTTGGCAAATACTCTTCTGCTTCTTCATGGGGCTTGACAGGCATATGCACAGTCAGGGGCTGGCCACCCTCCCTCTTGTATTCTGTGCCTGATCCTCACCCTTAACACAACCTCAACCCTTGGGTCTTACCTACGCCTTATGTATAATCCAATTAGTCAAAAACACCAACACGTGTGCAATAGTCATTTAAAGAAAACGGCCCAGCAATAGTAGATGCACCAGTGGCCAGGGACAGAAGAGCTGGTAACAGCATCTCAGAGTACCCCTGGACCTATGGACAGCTGTAGCAGGCTGCCTCTGGTGTCAGTATTAACAGGAAATATATCAATTTATACAAATGAGAAATAGCCCAGTGCTGGACCTGGGGTGTGGTTCAGTGACAGAGTGCTTTCCTCATAGCACCTAAGGCCCTGGGTTCCACCTCCAGCACTAAAATTACATTGCTTGATTATTGTGTGAGTGCAGGTGTGTGCATGCCTCCGCATGCATGTGGAACTCAGAGGACAACTGTTGGGAGTTGATTCTCTCCTTCTACCGTGGGTTCTGGGGACTGAATTCAGGTCATCAGGGTTGTGTTGAAGTACTTTTACTTGCTGTGCCACCTCACTGACCCCAGCACCAAACTATAAAAAGCTAGTGTTTACACTGGTAGACAGTGAACCCAGTGTGAGAATGCAGCCCTGCACACAATCCAGCCATGTGCATATCCTCAACAGGTCATCACAGGAACACTACACTACTGGATGAAGAATTAGAAAGTTCTTGGTAAGAGAACAGGGATCACACTCCAAATGAGCCATTAAATGAAAAGGGCACAATGCAAAACAGTGTGTCTGACACACCCTGTTGGTGTACAAGCACATGGCAAAGGTGTATGCAAGGGCCTTCAGGCAGAGAGAGGCAGATACCAGAGGCATTGGGTGCCTGGAGGCAGAAGTAGTGCAGGCACCCAGAGCCTGAGGCAGTGAAGGGATTAATATACTTATATATTGCTTTGTTTTGTCAAAACAGGGTCTCCCTGTAGCCACAGCTGGTCAATATGCTGACCAGGCTGGTCTTGGTCTCACAGAGATCTATCTGCCTCTGCCTCCCAAGTGCTGGGATCAAAGGCGTGCGCCACCACACCTAGCCAGATTGATACTTTGGTTGTCCTTGTTTGCATTTTGAACCACATGAATGAAGATATTGCCTATTCAGAACAATAGAAATATCCACGTATTGAAAGGTGCCAATGCACTCAAAGGTAACAAGGAGCCCATTGATCTCTGGATGGCCTATGACTTCATCTGATATATGCAGCACATCAGAACCAGTGTCCTAAAATGCTCTCACCCACCTGAGTGATTTTCCATGACTGCACATGGCCCACCCCAAGCCCTGGTCTGGCTCACCTCAGTGAGGATGGTAGTCTCATAGGATGGCTGGTACTTCTCCTTCTCCTGGGCTGTTCTTTTCTCCATCTTCTCCCGGTCAGTCTTCTGTTTCCGGTCAGCTCCTTTTGGCTGCAAGAGCAGAGTACAGGGTCCACTTAGGCAGGAAAGGGACCAGGCGGCTGGGGAAGGAAGACGGCAAGTCTGTAGGCTCAGATCTCAACCTGGGGTCAGAAGAGTAGTCAGGACAGACCTCCTACCTCCCCTGCCTGGCATGCTTACCACAACGGGGGCATCTAAGAGCCTGCCAGTTGGCAGCTCAGCAGGAAGTACTTGGAAAAGATTGCTACTGATAGCTACTTGCTTCTGGAAGAAGCCATGGAGAGCCAGTCAAACCACAGCACATCCCTGGGGCAACTGATGGAGAGCAAAGGGAAATGCAGGAGGAGGGGAGTACAGCTACTAGTCAGGCCTGTGCTATGTTTACCTCTGAGGTCTGCCACTGAGCCCCCAGCATACCCTCAATACAGGGTAGTGGGTTGATATCTGTCCAGCTGCTGTGGCTAAATGACAGTGCAAGAGGTTGCCGATCCTGAGAGCTACTTACAAAGACTGCCCCAGTGCCTGAGTGATTGCCAGGAGAGGCCCAGAGTGCAGTCCCTCCAGGGCCCTTTGGCTTCCTGAGTCACCTCCTTTGTGCCCCTCACAGTTCCCAACCTGCTTGGCAAGCACAGGTACAAGACTCAGAGGCATGCTAGCACTGAGCAGCTTTACTATACACAGGTGATATGCAGACACTAATAATTACTTCAGGCCCGGTGGACCCTCGGGGTCTTTCATTTCAGCATGTACCTTCCTCAGGGGATGACTTTTAACTTCCAGCTGAAAGAGTTTTCAGAGGCATCTTTCAGAATAACCCTCACCCTTGATGAAGGCAGGCCTGCAGAGAGCCACATGGGCACATGGATGTCAGGCAGGCACAGTGTTCAGTGTGAGTCAGGGGCACAGGTACATGGCAGCCATATCTAGCCTCCCTGCTCTATGGTTAAAGCCCTATACTCAGAGGAAGCCTCTCCTACCTTCCCCAGAAGCCATAGGTGAAGTGAGGTACAGCCAGACCATAGCCAAGCATGCATGTGGGGTGAAGCTCTCGGCCTCATGGCCTTCAGGGAGCTGGCTGGTCAGAGCAGGTTGGATTTTTCTTTCAGAGTCCTGACATACCAAGGACCTAAATTTGATCCCCCAAAAGTCATGTAAAAAAAAATGGGGGCATGGTGATGGATACTTGTACTCCCAGAACTGGGAACCCAGAGACTGGTGGATACCTGGGGCTCAATGGTCACCAACCTAGTCTCAGGGGGAAGCTCCAGGTTCAGTGATAGGCTGATGAGGCTGACTTCTGACCTACACATACCAGGTGTTGTGGCCAACGCCTTTAATCTTAGCACTGGGGAGACAGAGGCAGGTGGATCTCTATGAGACTGAGGCCAGCCTGGTCTTTAGGGAGACCCCCATCTCAAAAACAACACACACACACACACACACACACACGAGTAACATGAGTGCCAGGCCCTGTAAATGATACCTCACAGAAGGAGAGGGTACAGTCCTGCTTTCGGGGCCACCAAGAGGTTGAGAGAGAGCTCCAACCAACTACTCAGCATCCAGGTCTGTATTCGTACCTGCAAATACTCATTTCTACATCCATCCCCGCTCAGAAAGATCAACATGAACCAGCTGTCCTTCTAACATAATCCATCTGAAATGACTATCTCCTGGTCTCCAGGCCCCAGCAGTTGGAAGTTTTCAGCAGGTTCCAAATTCACCTGGGTATGAAGGGGATGCTGAGACAGGCACCAGGGCTGGCCACCCAAGGCAATCCTAACCAGAGGGGGTTCCAGTCCCTCTCCTGAGGCCGGCAGGGCAGGCATGGACCAGCCTCATGCTGTCAAGATGACACAGGCCTATTGTACTTCCCATTTCCCTGAGGGCACAGGAGACTGTGAAGGAGAATGTGGGTGCCCACCTTCTGGAAATAACCAATCTTGACTGAAGAAATTGTAGGACATGAAGCAAGAACAGAAGAGGCTAAGCCAGGTGTGGTGGCCAACGCCCTTAATCCCAGCACTGGGGGGACAGAGGCAGGTGGATCTCTATGAGATTGAGGCCAGCCTCGTCTACAGGAAGACCCTGTCTCAAAAACCAAACAAAAAATGAAAGAAAAAAAATTAAGGAAGAGGCTAGAGGGACTTCTGAAAATGTTGCTTTCTCTAAGATGTAATTTTTTTTGGTACTGGTGATGGAACCCAGGATCTCCTGTATGCTAGGCAAGTGCTGTCACTGAGCCACACTCCAGCATCAGGCTGGAGAGATGGCTCCATTGTTAGAGTGCTTCTCAAACAAGCATGAGGTCCTGAATCTGGATCTCCAATACCCACATAAAAAGTCAGCCATGATGATACACATCTGTAAGTTCTAGGGAGGCAGAGACAGGAAGGTCCCTGGCATTCACTGCCCAGCTGATCTTATCAAATTGGTGAGCTCCAGGTTCAGTGAAGAGACCCTGTCTCAAAAACTAAGGTGGTCAATGAGAGCTGATGAGATGGCTCAGCAGCCAAGTCTGAAGACCTGAGTTTGACTCCTGTAATCTACATGGAAAGGGAGAAAGAAAACTCTCACAGGTTGAGAGCTGACCCCCGTAAGCACAATGACACTCACATATATATAGAGGGGGCGGGGAGCCAGAGTATAGAGAAAAGATGGCATTGGGCTAGGCTTCCAACAATAGCCCTCTTGACCTCATGTTTAAGGGAACTGTGGATGTGCGAATCTAAAATACCTACCAAGTGCTTGGGAGGGAACAGAAAGAATGACTCTAAAAAAATTCAAGGCCAATCATTCTAACAAAAGCATAGCCTCAGACTAACATGCAGAGACACCACATACACACTCACTTTTGAGGAACACTGAGCAGGTGCCCCAGGTGAGAGGAGTACCAGCAGGACAGGGACAGACTCACCAGAGGCTGGAATCCAGGTAGGATGGAATCCAGGCAGAAGCCCCTGGCTGCTGGAAAGCCAGACACCCATCTAGGTGTATGCGCTAAGCAACAGCAAGGGGCCCTCTTGCAGGCAGGTGTGACCAGGGCCAGGTGAGGCATTGTAAGGTGTGGTAAGGACATCCTACCTTGAACACCTTGATCTGGCAGCTGGCTGAGTGCAGGTGCTCTGTGTACTCCCCATTCTCGTTCTGCTTAAATGTGTCGATCTGCACCCGAAAAGGTACTCCCTTCTCACCCCCATGCTTCCTGGGAGTGAACTCTGTGCTGATACAGTGCACCTAGGAAGGGAAGGTGGGGTTGAAAGAAGTCTGGATGTCCCCAGGGCTCCTCTCCTCTGGAGGTGTGCCCATCCCTACTTTACCTCCTTGCTCAGCATGACACCCTATTCAGTGACCCACCCCACTCAGGCTAAGGCCCCCTTGTCCCTCTAACCACAGGACACACACATCCTCCCCTCTGTCCCTTTACTTGGGTTATGTCTGATCAATTAAATCTTTGAATTTTTCCAGGCCACCAAACCCTCACTCATTCAGGGGCCTCTCCTTATAAATTCTAGAGATTGAGGGGCAGGAAGCAAGCACAGCCCTGACCACTCTCTGACATCCTCATATCTTGGTTATTCAGCAAGGATAGAGCCATAATCAGAATGCCAGACTCATTTCCACATTTTTATTAAGTGCTACTACATAGAAGGCCCTTGATACAGATTTATTGTTCTAATACTATAACGTTATAAAATACAATATTATTGTAATACAAAAATAACAATTGTATACAACAAAATTAGAATTTTTAAAAATTGTGTGTGCTCATGTGTATACACGAGTCATATGCATACATGTGTGTGAATGTGGAGGCTAGAAGTTGACACTGGTGTCTTCCTTAATTGCTATCCTCCTTGTTTTTTAAGTAGAGTCTCTCACTGAACCTAGAGCTCATTGGTTTGACTAGGATGAATGGCCAGGAAGCCCCAAAGAGCCTGTCTTCTCTGCCTCTCCAATGCTGGGATTACAGGCATTTGCTGTTGCACCTGCTTTTTTTTTTTTTTAATTTTATTTATTATTTTTATTTTGTGTGTATGCTTGTATTGCCTGCATGATGGTAGGTGCACCTGTGTCGCAATGCCCGGGGAGGTCAGAAGAGGGCATTGGATCCCCTGGAACTGGAGTTAGGACAGTTGTTAGCTGCCACGTGGGTGCTGGGAATCGAACCCAGGTCCTCTGCAAGAACAGTCAGTGCTCCCAAACACTGAGCCAACTCTCCAGCCCCCACACTCTGCTTTTAATGGTGCTAAAAGTGAGATTACAAGTATGCACCACTGTGCCCTGCTTTTGTTTAAAATTTATTTTTACTTTATGTGTAAGAATGCTTTGCCTGAATGCATGTATGTCTATCATGTGCATGCCTGTTGCCCACTGAAGCCAGAAGAGGGTATCAGATCCCCTGGAACTGGAGTTACAGGTGGGTATTAGCCACCATCTGGGTGCTGAGATCCAAACCCAGGTCCTCTGCAAGAGCAGTCAGTGCTTTTCACCACTGAGCCATCTCTCCAGCACCAACGCCCAGCTTTCTTATCTTCTGGGGATTGAGTTCAGGTCCTCAAGCTTTTGCAGCAAGCACTTTCTCAACTGAGCGACTTCCCTTAGCCTTGGAAATAATTTTTTTTTTTTTTTTTTTAGCTCACGAGTTCTGTAAGCAGAATCTAAACAGAATCCACAATTCCAAGTCTTTTCCTCAACCCTCCTGACCTGTGACCTGAGCAACACTGTCCTCCCTCCCTCCCTCTCCCTCCCTCCACTCTCTTCCCTTTAACAGGAGGCCATCCAGTTAGCCCCCAAGCTAGCCCCCAGAGTTCTCTACTCACCTGAATGAATGCAGATGCTCTCTTTGCAGGGTCCCACAAGAACTCCACAGCATTCAGTTGGGTTGGGCTGGCCCTGGGGTCCAAGATACCAACAGACAGTGGAATATCTGTGCACACACACACACACAAAAGTGCAACCGTCAGCCTCTCCTAGATTCTGAGGGGAAGGACCCTGGTATAGCCCAAAGTCCTTCACTCTTGGTATCTTTATCCTGTTTTCTGTGATATGGTTCTTGATTTCCTCTAGCCACAGGTGCTTGCTGAAAATATGGTATACACATTCCATTATCATACTAGTTTTCAAACAAAGCACAGCTGGCCCTGAGGGCTGTGGGCAAAGCAGGCTGAACAGTACTTGAGCCCCGAGGATTACACTTTCACTGCCTAGCTACCTCTGTGATGCCCACTCTTCCCCTAGCCATTTATCAAACCCTCTAAGGCTCTGCAGTCCTTCTACAAGGCTTTCTCTCAAATTCCTAGATGGCAACAAAGAAAAAGAGAATCCCATAAAAGCAGGACCCAGTGGCGTGGGCCACCACTGTAAGCGCTCATAGGGCCTTCTTTCCTTCCTTCCTTCCTTCCTTCCTTCCTTCCTTCCTTCCTTCCTTCCTTCCTTCCTCCCTCCCTCCCTCCCTTCTTCCTTTTTCCTTCCTTCCCTTTCTCTGTGCATGCCACCACACTAGCCTTCTCTGTAGGCATGAGTCCCAATGACATCCACAAAGAATCCTCCACATGGCCCAAGTGTTCCAGGGGAGACTCACCAATGTCCAGAATTCGGTCCCCAGGCCGGCTCCACCGCCAGCCCTCCAACTGTTGGTGCTCTGTATACTGCAGTCGGCGGTCATGGAAGACTACCCGGATGATGCTCTGTGGAAGGCAAGTGGTGAGGCACGCCTGTGTGTAGGGGCCAAGGGCAGCCCAAGGGCATCCCTGTGCCCAGCCAGGGCAAACCCTCGACCTTCCCAGCTCCTCTTCCCAGGGTTTCTTTTTCTGGTTCTGATTCCCCATACCACTTCTTCCTCAGAATCCAAGGAACACTGAGAACATTGGAAAGGCGATGGCTCCCATGGCTTCCAGGACTATAACAACTTGCCTGACTGATGTGTGGTTTTGTAGGCATGAGAAAGGCTCAATAGGCAAAACCAGACCAGAGCCTGAGCCTACTGGACCCAGAGCACACTCTACCAGCCCCAGCCACCCTGGTCCTCCATGCTGCCCACTTACATAACAATCCATATGGGGACAGTGCACAGCAGAGATTGGGACCCTGACAGCAGCCCTCCCTCTGAACCCTTCCCCACCACCCCCATCCTTCTAAGCGCTCAGATCTCACAATGCCCCTCTAGAGCATGCATAGCCAGCCTTGAGGCTCACCTTGACAAATTTCGTGTTCAAATCTTGAAAATCTCCCAGCTTCCGGTTCTCCAACAGCCTTATTTCATATGACTGGCCTGGAGAGGGGTTGATAGTACATTTTTCCATCTTAAAAAAAATTTTTTTTATTTTATTTTGAGACAGAATCTCACATAGCCCAGCTGGTCTCAGTCATACTAGGTATCCAAGGAGGACCTAGATTCCAGATAGCCTGTCTCTGCCTCCTAGCACAAGGATTATGGGTGGGCAATGGTCACATCTGGCTTTTTCATGGGTTCTGGGGATCTGAGCTCCAGTCTGCATGCTTATACAGCAAGCATTTTTCCTCTAAGTCATTTCCTCAGGCCCTAGTTGTCAGTTAAAAAAAAGTCAATTTCTCAAGGTTTTATTTTAATATGAATAATAGGAAAGAGCGTTCCCAACCCAAAGTAAATGAAAAAAAGAGGAAATCTAGTCGTAAAATTTCATTTTTATAACTGTAAACTTAATGCTAAAAACAAACTAGAAAGAGTAAACTCAGTAACTACCAGCTATGAGACAGCTTTAAAAGCAACTATCAGTAATTAGCAGGACATGGTGATGCAAGCCTATAATCCCAGCACAGGAGAAGCTGAGGCAGGAGGATTGATGGTTCAAAACCAGCCTAGAATGTGGTGAGATTCTATCTCAAAAAACCAAAACAAGGATGGCTCAGCAAGTAAGGGTGCTTGCCAACAAGCCCTGAGATCTGAGTTCCATCCCTGGAACCACATGGTGGAAGGACAACTCCCACAAGTTGTCTTCTTTCTGGCCTCCACAGACAGACACATACATGAAAAATAAATAAACAGATAAATAGAAATTTTAAACAAAATAAAAAACAAAAGAAACAACCAGTTAGACAAATACCAACACTCTTCTTCCTTCTATTAATGAGTTGATGGGTAGTCCACAATAGATATGGAAACTGGGAATAAACAGTCTCAGCATACAATTAAACTGAGGATTCTAAGGTGAGTTGATATCAGAGAAACCCCTGAGCCCTGACTCCAGTGACATGCACAGTGAGATGCACAGAGGGGCCAGAGAGGTAGAGGACATCATGGAGGTGAACACAAGTGATATGGTCACAAGCCAAGGGAGCTACCAGGTTAGGGACCAGGAGTGACGCCTCCCATGGATGCCTGAGAAGCACCCTAGTCCTGTGATTTTTTCCACTTTCAGCCTCCAGAGCCATGAGAATCACCTGCCATTTGAAATCCAATTATGTGTAGTAATGTGTTCAGCAGCTACAGAAAATAAGGCAGTGAGAGGATGATGGAATAGGCAAGGAACAGGAAATCAAATCATTCAGTGCAAATATTTGCCAAGCAAACCCTCAGGACATGGGAGTAAGAGGAGTGCCCCAGCCAACATGTGGACCACACAGCTTCCTCATGGTTGCTGCTGAGCCTGGACCTGACACCAGTGGAGCACAGCCATGCACCCTTCTCAACCCCACCAAGAAGTGTATGCATGCGCTCATGCACGTGTGTGTGTGTGTGTGTGTGTGTGTGTGTGTGCGTGTGTATAGGCCAGAGGATAACCCCAGCTGTCCTTCCTCAGGCACCATCCACCTTATTTTTTGAGACAGTTTCTCATTGGCCTGAGGCTTGCTAAATAGGCTAGGCAGGCTGGCCAGAGAGCTCCAGTGATTCTACCTGTCTCTACATCCCCAGTGCTTGGGATAACAAGCCTGTACCACCATGCCCAGCCTTTTTATGTGAGTGCTGGCAATCACTATATCAAATGAGGTATCTCCTCAACAACCAAGATTTTTAAGTTATGCTTCTGGGCACCTGAAACAAGAGTCCTAGCCCTGGACAAAGAGCTTTCCACACCCTAACTGGTTTTTCCAGTGTCCTTGCTGAACAATGTAGATGGTGCTGGCTGGAGGCCCAAGGTCGAAATGGTCATTATCTGAGTTTACATGAGCCCCAGGGGGCCAATTAACACTGACCCCAAGCTCTGCAGGGTGACTTCCACTTCAGGCCAAGCAGGGGCAAGACCTGCCAGATAAAGTGTTTTTGCACATGCAAGGGAGGAATAGAGCCAGCTCTATGAAGTCCCAGACTGTGCCTGGTTTCTTGCTCACCATTACACTGCTTGGTACACAGTAGGCTCTCAGCAAATACTTCAATGTGATTTCATATTCTTTGTGTGTGTGTGTGTGTGTGTGTGTGTGTGTATGTACATGTATGTGTGCAAATGTGTGCAAACGTGCACATGTGTAGAGGCCAGAGGCTGACTTCAGGTGTCTCCTTTAATCAATCTCCATCTTATGTTTGAGGCGGGGTCTCTCACTGTACCTGGAGTTCATCAATTCAGCTAGTCTGGCTGGCAAGTGAGCCCCAGGGATCTAGCTGTCTCTGCCTCCTCCATACTGGGATTACAAACCTATACTATATGCCTTGACTTCTTTTTTTTTTTCAAGATTTAATTTTTATTTATGTGTATGTGTGTATGTATGCACATGTATGTAGGTACCTGCAGAGGCCAGAAGACGGCATTGGTTTTCCTGGAGCTGGAGTTACAGGCATGTGTGTGCGAGCTGCCTGAGGTGGGTGCTTGGTTCCTCTGCAAGAGCAGCAAGCACTCTTAACCACTGAGCCATCTCTCCAACCCCACCAAACCCAGCTTTGTATGTGGGTTCCATGGATCTAAACTTGGGTCTGTCAAATGAGTCATCTCCCCAGCCCAGATTCTTTACCATGCTCTCATGCTACAGCTATGGGGTTTTGCAAAGGTAAAATGCACTCCTGTCCTCAAAGGTTAGCAACCTTCCAGATACATCAAATAAGACAGGAAAGGGGCTAGGATGAAACAGAATTTAAATAATACTTAAGAGACTATGGAGATGCAGAGGCTGGATCTACTCATCCTCATCATGAACAGAGGAGTGTGAGACAAGGCCCATACATAGGCAGCATGGCAGAGGACTCTGAAGAATAGGCAGGGTGTCTATAGTCAAGGGGAAGACAGAATTTCCAAGCAAAAGTGCAGCAAGGCCTGGGGTTGCACTGTGAGACAAGGCCCATACATAGGCAGCATGGCAGAGGACTCTGAAGAATAGTCAAGGGGAAGACAGAATTTCCAAGCATAAGTGCAGCAAGGCCTGGGGTTGCATCTATGGAACAATAACAGCTTCGTTAATGGGATCATTCAGGTGGCAGAGTCTCCTTAGATTCAGATGGCCTGTATCTCACAACCAGCCAATAGCAGAACTCAGGACCATGAGCCCAACTGCAAAGGAGGAAGTGGAAGCCCAGCAGGGTTCCCAGCTCAGTAAGATACACAGCTAGTAAGTAACAGGGCCAGGGAGGTATAGTGATTCTCTTCCAACTGCTCCTTTCCAGAGGCATCTGACTAAGTCTACCCCAGGAATCTTACAACTCTCTGCCACCTTGGATCTTTTCCTACAGCCTAAACAATGATTTGTGAGTGAAAAGAAAAAAGAAAAAAAAAAAAAATCACTACAGGAAATGGAGAGTTTTGATTTCAAAATTATGACATGGGGGTGTTCCTGGGGTTGCTTTGTTTGTTTCAGGTTTTGTTTGTGAGACAGGGCTCATGTAGCCTAGGCTGGCCTAGAACTCCCTATGCAACCAAGGATGACCTGGAACTTTTGATCTTCCTACTTCCAACTCTGGGGAGTTTGGATTATAGACATGTACCATTACACCTAGTTTATAGGGTTATGCAGTGCTGGAGAATCAAATCTAGGGCTTTGTGCATGCTAGGTGAATGCACTACCAACTGAGCTATATGCCCATTCACTCAACTCATTTAAACTTGTATATTTTGAAATTTATCACATCTTCACATAAGAAACCATAATCCAGGTTTGGAGAGATGGCTCAGCGGTTAAGAACACTGACTGTTCTTGCAGAAGACCCGGATTCGAATCCCAACACCCACATGGCAGCTAACGGCTGTCCATAACTCCAGGTCCAGGGGATCCGACAATCTCTTTTGTTCTCCTCCAGCATTGCACGGCACAGGTGCACTTACCTACATGCAGGCAATACACTCATACACAAAATAAAAATAATAAAAATATTGTTAAAAAAAGAAACCATACTCCTAGGCTGGGCATGGTGGCACACCCCTTTAATCCCAGCACTCAGGAGGCAGAGGCAGGCAGATCTCTGTCAATTCAAGGCCACCCTAGTCTACATAGTGAGTTCCAGGTCAGCTGGGGTTACAGGGAGACTCTGTTTCAAAAAGACCGGGGGGGGGGTGATAAATAACCTTGTGCCTTTAATGGTGCCTTTAATACCAGCATTTGGGAGGCAGAGACAGACAGATCTCTATGAGATGAAGGCCATCCAGATCTACTTTGGTGAGTTCTAGGAGAGTTGGGACTACAAAAAACCAAAAAGAGCTCTGAGGTTAAGAGCACTGGTTGATTTCCAGAGGACCCAGGTTCAATTCCCAGGACCCACATGGTGGCTAACTGTCCACAATCTAGTACAAGGGATCTAACATCCCCTTCTGGCCTCTGTAGGCATTAGATACTCAAAGGCACTTACATACACACAGACAAAACACCCAAACACATTAAAAAAAAAAAAAAAAAAAAAGCCAAATAGTTAAAAAACAAACAAACAAAAAAAAACCCGAAAAAGAAACCATAATCCTGGATGATGAATAAATAGAAATTGTTAGAATGACATGGATAAGCAGCTACTGTTGTTCTTATGGGATCTTCTGGGGTCTGGCTGCCATCTTGGTCCCTACACCTCTGAAATGTGGAGAATTAAGTTTACACACTTAATATGCAAAGTGCAAAGTGTTGAGGGGTGGAAGGTACCATTCAGCACAGAACTGGTGTGGGGAGGTCTGAGGGTCCCCACCAGGGCAGAAGGAAGTAAAGGGAAACCAGACAGGCAGGTAACTCCAGAAAACCACTTTGAAGAAATTCCCCAAGGGAAGACCTGCAAACAAAGACTTTCCAAAGGCTTGTAGGAAAAGTGCCCCAGATCACTTTGTGATGTAAACTAGCCCTTCACAGGTGGATCCCAGAGAGCCAAGGTGACCTGGAAGTGGTAAGAACTGA